ACTAGCTAGTAGCTAGCATCATGGATTTAATGTTATAATCATCCTAAATGTTAGATGCTATAAGAACTCGAGTCCCTTGTAGTGGTTATTTTGGGGGCAATCCATCTTTTTCTATATATGTGGTCTGTTTTTTTATTACTATTACAAGGAATAAATCGTCTCAGGCACGAAACCCTACTGCATTTCTCAGATCCCAAAGTTTCAAAAAACCATGATGGTGGAGATTAGACTGATAATGAAGTGGAAGTGTTATGGTCTCTCATGACTTTTGGAACCTTTGGGATTTGGATTCTTTACCTGATCAGAGAAGCTCAAAAAAGGGAGAGAAAGAAAGGATCAATATCTTTAATATGATGCCAGATTATGTCATCGATCGATTCTGCATCTTCCTTTTCTTTCTTCTTCTGTTGCGTGCACAAATGACAATATTAGCATATGCCTTGGATCGTCAGATGTGAATGCACATCAGATTGCAGCCTTTATTTACTTCCATCCACGCTACTTTATCTATCTTTAAATATTTAAGTGCTGAGCTATACATTTAACATATAAATCTTTATGATGTGGGACTATGAAAATTAATAATTAAGAGGGTGATTAAGTTTCATTAGCAAATAGAAAACTGCTGCTACATATCTTATTTCTTATGACAATAACTCTCATGTTGAACCTACAGAACAGAACTCCATGGACCCACAGTCTAGCAGCTCCTCTATCATTTGCTCTATATGATGAGCTTCTTGTGACTTAAAATGCTGCTGGTGATCACCATCCCCTACTTGACTATCCTCACCAGCCCAGTTACCCTCCTGCCATTTTGAGCCGGTCTCGACAGTTTCTCCGGCAATGCCATGGCTAGTGTCAAATGTCTTCTTGCATTGTGCTTCATATGACTGTTTTGTTACATTTTTCTTGGTTGCTTGTAGAGATGCCATTTGACATTTATGTAGCTTGGCTACCAAGGTAGCTGAGAGAAGCTTCGATGAAGATGATTGTGGTTCATTGGGATTGTAAGGGAAATTTGTGCGTGATTTTGGCCCACACATTAGCCTTGCTGCCTCATCGTATGCTCTTGCTGCGTCCTCCGCCGTTTCGAATGTGCCCAGCCATATTCTAGTCTTCCTGCAGTTCAGAAGATACGAGAAACGTTTCATTTTAGTACCAGAATTTAAAACAGCCGGAAGCTCACTTAAAACTTACGTTGGTGCTGAAAAACAACATAAAAATGGGATTTGTGTGTGTGTGTGTGTGTGTGTTGCTTTAAATTTTCTTTGGACGTATAAAGAAACCACTCTTGATAGTTAAAGAATGAGTAAGGAACGTTTCAAGAAAGCGGAATTACAGGAGAGGATGGCGAATTTCAGATACCCAAGAACCCCAATGCCTTTGACGGACGCCACGGTATCGCTGTTGTGGTCTAGTCATGGTGTGTTTGTGAAATGTTCTGGGAGAGAAGATTGTAAGAGCTTGAGGAGAGGGATCGGGAGTGGGGGAGTCATGGAGGTTTATATAAGGGACCTTTGCGGCCTTGCGGTTCTCAATTGAGCCAGAGGGCCCACATCCCTTTTGTGTTTTTCCTCCTCCCTTCTCTTTTGATCCAGGTCAATGTGTTTTCTGCTAACCCTTCCATGGCAGCTCTTACCCTCACAAAAATAAATCGCTGTCACTGTGTGAGTCTTGCTTGTTTACAAATTGCAATGTGCTAGAAGGGAAACTTGCAGTTAAATTTAACAATCAAGCCACACCATGTAGCAAACAAAACCCAAGTAAATTCAAATGAATGTTAAATATTGGTTGTTTTGTAACGTGATTATAATTATTTTTTAAAGTATTTTTTAGATTGAAAGATATTAAAAAAAAATATTTTTATTTTTAAAAAATTATTTTTAAAATCAGAATATTAAAACGTTCCAAAACATATAAAAAATTTTTAATTTTTTAAAAATATAGTTTGCATCGTATTCCCAAATATTATTATCATGAAGAATATTTATATCACAATTATTAAACTTTACATAATTTGATAAAACGACTTGAAATTTAATTGATTAGACTCTTTGCCTAGATATTAAAAAAATAAAAAACTAGAGTTGAGCTATTTGACCTGGATAATCTAACAGTTTAATACATGTCTTGATCCATTTAATCAAAATTAGTTTGTCTAATTTAAAAAAAAATATTTTTTAAAATATTATTATAATTTTTTTAAATAATAATTTTTAAAATTAATTTAGTGATCAATTTGTCTAATTAGATTATATCAAATCATAAATCATGTGCAATTTAATAACTTTGTTGTTAAAAATATTATGTACCTTCAATGCTAGTTAATAATGTGGCCACGAACCTTCACATTGAACAATAATGATGGAGCTAATTTTTTGGATCATTAAACCAGTCACATCTCTTTTGATACTTGTAGACTTCCCGAGCTACAAAATTGAAGCGAGACTATACCTTTCTTTAAACCCAATGTATTTTACTAGTATTGTGGGTTGATATAATAGTAATTGTTCTTTAAAATATTTTTTTATTTAAAAATATATTAAAATAATATAGTTTTATTTTTTAAAATATAGTTTTCACATTATTATATCAAAACCATACAACAACATCAAAAACAATTAATTAAAAAAATTAAAAGCATGATTCAACAGTAAATACAAACACTAATTTAATGTGGCAGTTAGAAGACAACGGTACGTGGCTCACATCGCAGTTGCTAAACATTTTCGACATCCATGAATATGATCCATCTGCAGTATTGGAAGGTGAAGGAGACATACCATGTTTCATGCAATTTTCAGGCCCATGCCCCTCCCTCCCTCCCTCGGGCTAGTAGCTGCTATATTTGACCGTATTATTTTGTTGCCTTAGGCAAACCCAGTTGATGTTGACGTCAATTGTCTGCCCATGCTTTGCTTCCGATCTGTTGTTAGGTCACATCGCATCCCCACATGCAGATGCTACTAACACTTGAACTTGCCAAGGCAAAAGGAGAATTTGAAGCTGAGAAGATACCTTGCGTCATGTTTCTTGGGAATTCTCTCAAGATGATGGACGAGTTTGCATAGATTCTGGAGAAATGACTTGTACTTATTTATTCTTATGTATATTGAATCCAAGAGCGGATTCTGTATGGCAACTTAATATTTTACCACTAGAATCCCTCATTTCACTCCTATTCAATTTCCAAACCCTAACTACTCTCTTTCAGATTATTAAAAAAAAAAAAAAACAGTTCTCAGAGATTTTCTTTTTTTCTTTTTAATCTCCACAAGGATATCCGTGATTAGGTGAAGGCTATTGTTATTGGGTTGTTGAGTCAATCAAGATATAATTCGATTTTTATAATTTTAAAAAATAGAATGAAATAATCAACTTAATCTCAAGGGTATTTATGACTAGAGGAAGGCTTATATTATGGGGTCGTGGGGTTAATCTATAAATAATTGGATCCCTGTAGTTTTAGAAAATGCAATTGGATCCTTGATATTTTGGAATCAAGATAAAGATGATCCATCTCTCTAATCCCATTAGCATTTTTCATTAAAGACAAAATTCTGACCTTAAGATCACTTTGTTTGGTTGAGGAGTTTGACCATTGGCCATTGTGATCCAGTAGAAGTTAATTGGTAACGATAGTAGACATAGGGATCAGACTTCTTCACAATTCCGAAATATTATTAAAACCCAATATGCATGGATTTGCTAATTAATTGTAGTAATTAAGATCGGGTCCATAGAAATATTCGAAACCACAAGGATCACGGCTGCCGTTAAACGCATTATTGTAAGAGTTAATTGCTGGAATCAAGCTTGGATCCTTGACAAGAAGTCATGAATCATGGAGAGCTAGTTAGCGAGGCGTGATGATGGTCAAATAACCTATAAAAATCATCGTGGTATCTATATATATAGACCTCTTGTATAAAGCATCTCAACTAATAATCGCATGGCTTCATCAAAATTTGATTATTCTTTTTTAAGTTAAAAATCTTTTATGCCCCATTTTATATCCACCCTTGTCGCAGAACTCCTATGTTGGTACGAAGACTTTGTTCCAAATGACATGTTAAACGTATAGCTTCCACACTTTGTTCCTTTGGGTGGTTCTCTATAGATATGAAGGCATGTTTGTTTTCAATATAAATTATTATTCTTTTGTTAGTCGTGATGCTGGCCAGGCCTCCATGATTTTCATAGAGGTTCTCTCTCTCTACACACACACGCACACAGAGAGAGAGAAGAACGAAGAAATCTTGCTTATGGCAAGAAGAAAAATCAACAAACAATGACAAAGAAAGTTGTTTCCAACCACTCTCATGGGGAGGACCCTTGTTCAGTCCACAAATACATGTAGTGTGATCAGCGTGATCTCTTTTTGTTGCAAGCTTTGGGAACAAAAATGAAACATTCCGGCATGCAAATCTACAAAAGAAGGAAATTTAACAAATGGTTAAAATATCAACATCCATTACAGAACATTTCCACCCAAAGACTAGGAATTTTACAAGGCAACAAGCTTGAAAAGGTATTTAGTTCGTGACTTAGAGAAAAAGGAAAGATAACGCGTGCTAGGATAATCATACACAAGTCCACAAAACAAAACAAAAAGGTATTTTTTTTCCTTCTCTCTTGTAATCCTGCATGCAACACACGAACCTTAATAAAAAGCTGGATGGGTTATCAGCTCACCCATCCTTATCTCCACTCACTGGATTACACTAAATCCTTCGAGCTTATTTGGCCGAGCAACATCATTTGTGTTGTCATATTCCCTCTTTGTAATGATAAATTCAAGTAATATATATATATCGTTTGATATAACAAAATTAGTTAAGCCTCTCATCTTTAAAAAATTTATTTCTGCATATTTGAAAGTGCAAGTTCACTATTCAACAACATAAAAAAAATAATTTCATACAAAAAAAAAATTCAAATTTTGACCAACCAAAAAAAATTCAAATTTCTGCATTATCTGGAATGAAATACCAATCAGGGCTAAAACTTGGAGTGGACGATCATAAACCTCCATTCATATATATTTTTGTTTACTGCTTATAAAACAAATTGTAGACTCAAGGTTCCATATTGATATTGACAGCAAAACAAGAAATGATTTGCTGTTGATTCTCTGCACGGGAGGAAATGCAGAAAGAACTTTGTCAAAATTAAAAGGATATATCGAGCCTCTGTTGCAGCACCAAGACTCCACGCCAAAAAGTCACCAAACATGGCAAGCACTACACGTCCTACTATTTAACAGCACCGCTGAATCAATGGAGCCTAAAACGAGGGTCGAAAACCATTGATCTACATGAACTCTTATCGCTAACCCAAACTATCTCTATTGACAGCACCTGTCGACTAAGAAAACACAAAAAAGAACTGCCAGCCAATCTTCTCTATTGACAACACTTCACCTTCTAGCAGTCCCTCCAACCCTTGGCTTTCCTTTCACTTCGGTTTCCTGCAGTGAAAAAGAACACCATTGCATTGCATGATCAAATCCTTGCTCATTTTACGAGGGGAGGATTCAAGTTGAGCTATACAAGATGCAAATTCAAATAAATTCACTTGAATGGACCTGAGGTAAATGCAGATAAATATAGGTCTTCGCTGTTGCAGGGTTGTGATTTTCAGCACCCTTGCCCCAATCATAGCACACCTACAGAAAATGGAAAGAAGAATCTCAGTGCCATTAAAGCATAATGCTTAGGACATCCTTATCGTTGCATTTAATAAGACTTCTAGAAATTGTCTCTCTTCATAGAGATAACGATCATTGAAAGGAATATAATTGCAGTTTATAGAAAATGGAAAAACAGTGCATACCGCATACGCAAAAATCGAGCCATCATTATTGAATGTACTGCAGGGCATTGGTAGAGAGCACCGTGACATGGCCTGGAAATCAGATAAAGATGTATTATATAACTGAATGCTTTAGCTTGGAAAGATAAACATGAAAGCCAATGTTACAACAAAATAATATGCAACTAATCTATCAAAAATAAACTAGAAAAATATATGGAATAAAAGTTATGGAGACAACCTTGAGTCTCTGTTTGCTATCCTTGTCCCAAAAATTAAAAGCACCATCAGATCCAGCAGTTGCAAACGTGTGATGCACCTGAAGAAACAAGATGGATACACGTTAAGATGTAGGGTGTAGGCATGACATAAAAAGCTTATATTTTAAGTGCCAAACACCGGGTTAAGAGTAATAGGCATGCAAGAGATGACATGTTAAAAAGTACTATATGCACTGATCATAGAAATCTCCTAATAAAAGTTCTCTTACTACTAATACAAGTGACCAAGGAAACCAGTTATTTCTAAAAACATTTCTACAATACACTAAAAACGAATGTAGAAAGCAGAAGCAATTATATACCACCATACATGATAGTGTAAGGTAGAAAACGAGGCCTGTAATGATATACCATCACTACAGAGTTATCAATACAGCTCAAGTCAAACTATGGTAGCTATGCTGACACCTATAGAATAACTCAATCCTCCAGAATAGATTTGCATGTGCACATGCCAAAGTGAAGTGCATGAGATTTGGAATCCGAACATAACAAGTAAAGTCTATCTACATATGGTTTCTGCACATCCCCAACTATTTTGGGATTGAGGCTTAGTAGTCCTTGCTGTATTGTTTTCATATATGCCATAACAAGTTCCATATTCCAGCCAATCAGATGAGTATAGATTTAGTTCACCAGATCACTCCTGGGTTTTTTTTTTTTAATAAAGAATTACAGCTCTCTAAAACTAAAGCTGCTGATATCAAGGTTTTTTCTATGACAACACCATCCTACCAAACATATTTTTTGAAGGTAAAGTCATATCAAGAATGGAAATGAAAAAACTTACTGGATGGAAGTTCAAGGAGTTGACTGAGTAAATCTCATTGTTATCTCTGTGGCATTTGAAGGTGAAGTTTTTGCTTTGTTGAGCTTCATCCAGATGATGTACACCAACCCTTCCCTCTATTGAACCGACCTATACAGAAACACAGCACACAATCCAAACAATTAACCACTACGATCAAAGAAACAGTCTTTGCAATATGAAACAAAAAACAAACCCGGTTTCCATCAAAAAGTATTTAGAGCCAGTAGATGACTAAGAATTGCTAAACAAGATAACATGTTTGAAAAGGAAATTGAGATGGCAAAAAAAAAAAAACTAATTCACCCCCACATAACAATATCATGGAATACCAACGAAAATGCTCAAGAACAATACCACAAGCACAACAGAAAACCAAATGTCAAACTATAAATTGAACTTGGCAACAGGAGAACCATATGCACAGAAACCAGGGGAAAACACCAAGAATTTTTAGTCTCAAGTAGCTCCATTTAACAGATCACAAAACAAATGAAATGTCAATCCTTGCTGCTATAAATCATGTGACAAATGGCAAAAGTTGGGACTCAAACAACTAAAGAACACCCATACTGATTGAGGAATTATGTTTCTGCACGTATGAATGTGCACTCGTGTCCATAACACACAAACATTAATTACAGTCACCTCAAGAAATGAAGATAAAAAGGTCAATAGTGAGCACATACCAAGAAGCCTTGTTGATCAGGAAAGGCAGCTATGCATCTTGTCTGATACTTCAAGGGTGAAGGGATTTTCTTAAATTCGGTCTGGCGGCATTTAAAAAAAATTGATCAGAACAGAATGGTTCTCAAATATAGATAGATTACTATATGACAATAATAAGCAGAGGGTTGGAACCAAAACCAGTAGTTCATAAAACTAAAAGTTGTTCCTTGTAATGATTTTCTACTATTTTTTTCTGGAAAGGATATATGATAATATGGAAACATCATCTCATCCTTAATGGGAGGAGGACCCAAACACCCTTGAATTTTTAAATCACAAACAAAAATCTAATTTCTGTTGTGCAGTAAAATGTAAGAGCAGAAGTTATGGATAAGAAAAATCAAGCATTGATATGACAGGAAATTGTAACAAAAAAAACCCAAATCCCAGTCTAAGAATGGCAGGCATAATTTATCAATTTTTTCTATATGTTTTCAATAGAAAGGGAAACGATAAGTAAAAAGGTACTTTGAAATACAATTAAAGAAACAAGACACATCCGCTCGTTAAAGAATGATACTCATGGAAACAAGCAGTTTACTCGGTAAAATAATAGTAATGAAAAAAAATGAAAAATGGCAACAAAAAATATGGTTCTGGTAAGAGAGAGGGAACTCAGAATATTGATCAATGATGTTCCTGTGTAGAGTTAAATTGGAAGGCACTGCTCCATTTAATGTTCTGATTTCATAGAAAAACTTCTCATTTATAATCCTATTTTTCATCCAAAAAAATAGGGTAATGCATCTCAAAACCACCACAGAATTCGATACCAATGCCTATCCGGAGATATAGTCTCCTCCACTTTATGCACTGTCATGTAAAACCAAGACTTTTTACTCGGGTATCTACTGCTCTGGAACTATTCTAAAGCAGTACCAACTTAGAGAACGGAGGCATTTTGAGAAAGAGCAAGCCTTGTCAACCACCTGATAGGTTCAAGCTCACATGTTAAATCATGTCATTTGTAAGCCTGTAACTTAGACTACTGCTATCGTAATCACTAATCTAAAATGTGAAGCCCCCCGCATGTTGAACATTTTTGTTTTGGCAGAAAATTAAAAGCAGTATAAAATTGTGGGGCTGCAAAACAGCATTTCAGTAAAACAATTTAGAAATTTAGGATCATCAGAAATCATTACCTGAGGATTTTGCAGGTTATAGACTACCATGTTTCTGTCTGCAGTGCCAACGACCATCAAAGGATACCGCACTGTCATTGCATAACAGCGCTCACCAAGTTGCTGAGTGTGTACTGGAGTTGACTGCCTTAAATCCCAGTACCTAAACACAGCCAACAAAAAACACAAAAAAGTAGCTAGTGTAATTTTGTTATAAGGGTGCATGTCAAAGATGAAGAGCACAAACTGAACTGCAGATATCAGTACAAGTATCACAAGAAGCTCCAAAATGTTGGATCATCTCCTAAACCAGTTCTCAAACCCTAGGACCACTAATGATTATACATGCAATTTGGTACACCTTCAAACCAAGCAAACAAATAATGCTGTCCCATTGAGAAAAGAAAAGATCAGCAAATATTGCATGATCATGCTTCTTTTTGCCTTTTGTTATGAAGTCACATAACTAAAAATAATAATGGATTTCTCAAAATGTAAACTTGTTAAGTACTAAAACAGTATAACCAAAATGCTAAATTTGAATTCTGCTCATCTAAAGGCAAAAGAAAAAAAAAAGAATGAGACAAATGATTGCTAAGAGAACAACATTCACAATTTACAACTAGTCAGAACACCTGATGATGTATTTAGCCATCATGCAGAAAAACTGATTAATCAAATTAGCAGTAACATCAAGGAAGGAAAAAAAGAATCTTACTTCAAGGTTTTGTCGAAACTTGCTGTGGCTAAGCAGTTCATCTCGGGAATCCATGTAATCTCTTTGATAGGGGCATCATGCATCGCAATAGTTACTGGTTGACCACCAGTGAGCAAAGGCCACATCTTAACCTGTTTGTCGCACCCTCCAGAAAAGACAGTTGTTCCATCATCCTTCCAACTTGAGCACAACACCTTCAATATCAATATAAAAAATTAAACAGAGAGTTAGAATTATAAGGATTTAAGAATATCAGTATCAATAAATGGGCTTGTAAATAAAAGGACTCGATCATTACCGGTTGGTCATGTGATATTGAAGCCTTGGGAACACTGCCTACAGTGGTCCCATTCCTTGTAATTTCCCAGCATCGTACCTATAAAAAATTTCAAACAGCATGCAAACTATAAGAAGGAAAGTAATGACCCAAAACTAAAACGAGCATCTAACATTAAAATAATGGAATACTTTTGTTAAACAAATTGCTTGCTTCTAACAAAAATCAATTCGTCAATCAACTCTCTTAGAAAATTTTAAGAAGCATAAAATCGAGATAGTGAAACCTAAAACATTAAACAAACCTGATTGTCCCAAGAAGTTGCGACTAAGAAGTTGGCTTTCGGACTGAAAGAGAGACTCGAAACCGAGTCGCTAGGAGGCTGTAACACCTGTAACCAATGATTTCCGGTCATCAAAATAAAATTAGACAAGAAATAAGTGCTTCGACTTAATTGTTAAATGAGTCCTTCTAATAACAATGTCAAGTGTTCAAGCAGCTAAATTACACTTGAAATCTAATTTTTTGCTACTATATTTACATTACTAAAAAAAATCATGAAAAAATAACTAAATCCACAATCAAGCTCAAAAATCAATGAAACACACTTAAAAAATGCGGTTACCATCCTAAAAATCAAGATAATCAGTCAGAAAAGGCAGATTGGAAAGTGAATTAAGAACTAAAAACAATAACAGATAAATAATCAGTCAAAAGAAATCACCTCAATGGATTTATTAGGGTTTGCATTAGCCGTACCGGCAGCGCCAAAAGCAGACATTGCTTTCTGCAAATAAACAAAGAGTTAACCAGAAGCTAAACAAAAAGAAGAAGAAGAAGAAGAGGTGCAAAGTAAAGATTCAAAGAATCTGTAATGAACAGAAGAGAAGCAAGGAAAAATAAAATATAGAGTACCTACGAGACAGAGAGAGAGTAGGACGAGGAGAGGGAGATGCAGGCAGCAGGGGGTTTAAAAGTAGAGAGGGAAAGAAAGGCAATGTAAATGTGGAAGTGACTTCGCCTCGGTGACTGTTTATATTATACCTGAGCGTGAAATGCAGAGGGACGAGTTGCGCTCTAGGGAGTGGATACCAGCCCGGTCTGCGGATCTGCTCAAAGATCTGTCTATCCATGTCTTGGACCGGTTGCGTTTTTTGTACTAGTTATATAGTTGATCTGGAAAACAGAGTCGATTCAGCGGATCCACTCAAGATCCGAGTAATTTGATTAAAACCCGGATATGACTTGATTCTTACTTCAGAATGAAATTGTTTTAATTTCAGTTTTAGAAGAAGAAAAAATTGTCCAAAAGGACTTTATTGTGGATAAAACTTCAAAAAACCATTTACTCAATGAATCTGCTGACCCGTGGGTTGACTTGTTCAACTCATTACTTGAATATAACTTAGGCTAGGTTTCAACACACACTAAATGCACGTTTAGTATTATGATGTGAGATATTTTTGTAAAAGTTTTATTTAATAAAAAAATATATTAAAATTATTTAGATAAAAAAAACTTTAAATTCAATTACAAAAAACAAACATACAAATTGGATTCGGCCGACAATGCCTTGGTTATATAATTATTTCAGACCTGGATTTGAGCATGACTTTTCAGGTATAGAGCCCAAATAGCCATTTAACCTGTGCTTCTCCGCGGGTTGTAAATTTTGTCAAGTTCTTGGCATGGGATTTATTTGTAAGCTGCTGTGTATGGGGCAGTGTCATTGTGCCACACGTGGTGACATGCCTCGGCGTGATGATTATCCAGATCTCCATGCTACTGTTATCCTAGAAATTATGTTTCGATACTGTGAACATGGTGTTCAGATGAATCACAACGACAATTCATTGAGAATGATTAATCTTGACATTCCATTATCATGGTTGCATGAAGCTATGGCATGCTTTTGATTCTTGCATGGTTCTATCTGTGTAGTCATTTCATATATCTTGCCTTTCATCTTGCTCTTCATATCGCATAGCCTTGGGTGACTGCATTTGAATCTACAACTGGTTTCATGCATGGAGACATGTACTGCACCAGTAACAACTCAATAAAAACCTCGAAAGGAGGGTTGCCTTTATGAAGTCAAGTCTGATTTTCATCTTTCATTCCCACAAAAGCCCATTTATTTCTCTCTCTGTTTCTTTCCACACACACCATGGCAAATATCTTGCAAGTTTTGCAGCAGCAAGATTTGTCCTGCACCAGCTAGTTTATTGAACATCAGAATTCCTATATATATGTGTGGGTTTGGCTTAATTAACCAGCTTCTTATGTAGAGATACAATACTAATTGTCTGCTCTTTTCTTTTCATCATTTATGACATCAACTGATATAAACATGCTTTCTGCGATACCCCTGCTATGATATCGAGGACCAGTGTTGGTTGGCCAGTTTTTAACTTGAAGAGTTCATCGGGTTGACAAGCAAATTTTATATCTGTCTGTTTCCACTTTGGCGAGGAATGCCAAAATGAATTTATAATCCCTTGTAAAACATCTCTTCATCCCTGTCCTGGTTGACATATTACATATTGCATTTGATCATGCCATGCAGGCTGTTTATTTCCGCTGCCATGGGGATCTCCCGAAGGCCCTCGAACACTATCTTGAATGTGCAAATTGGCAAAGGGCTCATTCTATTTTTGTAACTTCAGTTGCTCATAAATTACTTTCGTCAGGTAAAAGCTTTTGTCTTTATAGTGTTAGGTGCACATGCTGCGTGTTTCTTATCGTGATGCTGTTTACTCCTGGTAGGCTGGTAGGATTCAATGATTTGGGGGCCCCCAATCCTACCTTTACAAGAGAGAGAAAACACTTGGGTCTTCTTTTTGGGCTATATGTAAATTGCTTATAAACAGGTTCTTGTAGGCTATAGCCCAAAACTGCAACTCTTGGGCTACTCAATTTGATGCAGCCGATCACACAGAGATAAGAAGGCTTGAAATTGAAAATTGGGACTTGGGAGCTGGAATTTACGTATCATTCTAGTCAATAAGAAGCTCGTTGCCAGACGCTAACAATATCATGAGTGAACTGGTAAAGAAACTTAGAGTCTTAGAATGTGTTTGTTTTTTTGGGTAATTTATGTAGTTGTAATTTGAAAAAAAATAAATTTTAAAAAATATATATTTAATTGTGGTTAATTAAATTTAGATATGAGTTTGTTAAAAACCATGGTTAAAGTTTATGTGTAGTAAAATACAAGTGTAAAGTGTTTGGATAAAATTATGGTTTAAATTGATATGCTAATGACATTACCAAAAAAATATATAATTTTTTTAATTTTCAATTGTATTAATTTACATTTCATTAATATAAATTTTCACAAAAAACTACATGAATTACAACACTTCTTTTTATTGTCCCATTGCTGCAATCTCATCCCAGGTTCATATAATTATTTTTTTAATTTTCAATTATATTAATTTACACTTCATTAATATAAATTTTTACAAACAACTACATGAATTACAACACTTCTTTTTACTGTCCCATTGCTGCAATCTCATCCCAGGTTTCTCTCCAGGTTCAGGTTCAGAGCTTGAAGAAGGAAGTCATGTTCTGCCTGTCTTGCAAACGGTAAAGAGGAGGCCAACAAGAATTTTTAGGTAATTTAAGAAACTATTACACGAGAATTGCATTTTAAACTCAATTTTCTAGTGTATGCCACGGTACAAAATTCAATTATTTTAAAAACCATATATATTGTCCACTGTGATTCACCACTAATGTGAAAGCTACCTAGAACACAATGAACACAAACATAATCTTAGATATCTATAGATCTTAGCATGCATTCTATACATCATTATCAATGTTCAAAGTAGGCATTGCTTAATCAATCGGACTCAAAACTAGAGTTTATTCCTTACCTGAGCTGTGTTTATGCCAAAGGATGTAAATCTCAGCTGCCACAATGTTTTGTTTCAAAGTTCATTCAAGCCATTTAGTTTAATGGGCATGGGATTCTCAGAGGATTGTGTTAAAGAGCCCACCATGCTTTTTCTGAGATTCTGAAGGTAGCACTTTTAATTAGGGTTTTTTTTCTTTTTGCTGAATATGCATTTTATCAAAACTGGTGTTAATCTGAGTTTTCGATTAATGTAAACTAACGAGCTGGCATTCTATTCTCTCCTTTCGGCTTGCTCCCCAGATCAAGCCTCCTTGCTGTCATCTGTAATTGAGCACTCTTGAACCTGCTCTATCTTTTGCAGGATTCTCTTGAGAGCAAAAATCCTGCCTGCAGAGACTTCCTCGATAATCCCAATGAATCTTTGCCAGTTTTGTGTGATCAATTACTTGCCACCATATGTGTTTTGACCAATAATTGTCAATCTCATTCGTCATCTTTCACATCTTCTATCATTTTATTTTTATTTTTTCGTAGAATATCAAAATCTTAAAATAATATTTTGAATTAACCAAAATTAACTCAATCCACTCTTTGGGTGAGTTATAGGTTGGATTAGTTTCAAAGTTTCGGTGTTTAAAAATATTTTAAAACAAATTAATTTTTTTTAAATAATTTTTTTATATTTTAAATTGTTTTAATATAATTTTTTTAAATAATTTTTATATTTCAAATTGTTTTAATATGTTGTTATAAAAATAAATTTTTAAAACTAAAAATATTATTTTAATATATTCTTATATAAAAAAATATTTTAAAAAACAGGTGTTAAAATATGCTTGATTTTGTGTGATAAACAGTAAATTATTGGTACGGAAAATATTATCACATCAGTTTGCATGGGGGCAAAAAAACAAAAAAAACTGAAAAGAATAATTTCCGACATGTTTTTGACACTGGCATGGAAGTCAATGCCATGCAAAGAAATGGCCCCGCTGCGTAAAGTGAGGCAGGTGCAATAAATTCTTACAAGGAAAATCTGTGTACGGTCCAATAATTGTGTCCCCTACTCGTCATGTCAGATTCCCAATTGTACCATAGTGAATTTCTTTTCATTCCAAAAATGAAAATTGAATCGCTATTTATTCAAAAACAGACTAAATGTTCGCAAAAATAATTAGTCTTTATATTCTTGATTTTAATTTTGACCTCTCTATATTTTGATATTTTTAATTTTATATTCTATATTTTGATATATTTAAAATCAAGTCATTTTGTTTTTTTTTATATTTTGCATATAAAACTAATGAGATGACTTAAATAATCTTAGCTTCAATACACTTGAACCTAACTAATTAATTTAAATTTTTTCAATGGAATTAGTTTTAAGTTTTTGAAATAAAATTTAATGTCATAATTTTAATTCTCCAACTACAAAATTTGTTTTTTCAAGAAAAGAATAATGAAGATATTACTACAAAAATTTTTTTTTCAAGAAAAGAATAATGAAGATATTTTAAGGCAACTGATTTATCAGGTAAGGAAGGAATGGTATTTAGGCTATTAATTTTTTAAAAATAAAATAACATAACAAATTGATGGATAATTAAAATAATAATATTTTTTTTCAAATTTTCTATCAAAAAATAAAAATAAAAATTGATTAATTAGGTTTTAGATTATTGATGTTGATGATATTTAAGTTATTTCATTAGTTTTGTATATAAAGCATGGATGAAACTTTAAAAAAAATAATTGAATGACTTGATTTTAATTATATCAAAATGTAGAGAGATTAAAATTGAAGATAAGAATACATGGAGTAATTTTTAAATGATTTTAAATTCATTAAAAATTTGAACAACTTAGCTATAAAATCTACACCATATAATTATGCATCGAAGTAGAGGTAATAATAATAAAAAAAAATCGCAAGCTCAAAGCAATCGCAAGTCATTAACTATATAAAAAATCTATTTCATATAAATAAAAAAATCCAAGACAGGGAGGGGGTTTGTGCCCAAGTCTCTATACGAGTATAAATGGTATGCTTGAAAGCCACTTAATCTTATTATACGAAAACCAAATTAAAAAAAAAATTAATGTTTGGATATAAATATTATATCTATAAAAACATGAGAATTTTTTTAAAAGCAGTCCGACTAAGTTTTTTATTTATTTTCATGATGTTGTTATTTTTATGATTTAATTTTTTTGTCTGAAAAATATTAATTTAGTTTTTGAAATATCATAATTTTAATATACTAATATTAAAAATATATAAAAAATATTATTTTAATATATTTTCAATTAAAAAATAATTTTATAAAAACATTATCTACCACAGTAAAACTAGGACAAGAGTTAAGGGAGTGCGTGTGCTGCATCGTAAGGTGGGATCCACCAAAGCTGCTCCAATTAAACTCTAGCATGGTCCCACAGCAGCTAGGAATATGCTTTTCAAGCAGAGTACGAATGCGTTTGGTGATGCCTTTATAACTATTATTGCAAATTGTAACGTTCTTTTCGGGTTATTTTAATAGTTCACGCATCTCTAAAAAACATTACAAAACAACTAACAAAATTATATTTTGTAAAATCACTTGCAAATGCGTTGCCAAAAATGAACTATAACAATGTTATCTTTCTATCATTGTTAATGTTAATCAATAGCTACCATTTTATTATTATTGTTAAAGCTGATTACAAAAAAAAAATAATAAGGTATTCCTATGAAAGTTTAAAATATTACAAAAAAAAACTTATTTTTTTTTGCTTAAATTCTAATTATAAAACTTGAATTGAAACCACAAGTTAATCTAAGACTTGAATCGATTTGAATTTAAGAAAATAAAAAATATTAACTTAATCTAATTTGATAAAAAAAATTCATGTCAATCAAAGTAAACTTAATAAAAAGTTTGTTGAACTTTTTTATTTTTTATTTTATAAAAACAACATTGTTTTATTCATTTAAAAATTCAAGAATTTTACTATCACACACTGGTCTTCCTAGCAAGTGAGGCCAAACTATTATATAATTTTTTATCAATACTTGTTGAAGAACAAGTACTAAACCACTCAAGATTTTGTATTAGAGAGACTTCTTCAAATGGTTAGAGTGTCATTTGTGTTTTTTATAATATATTTTCTTGGTAGAGTTGATTGGAACAACAATTGAGATTTTCAGAATTATTTTTTTCAGTTTGCACCAAACTTTTTTTTTTTATGATTACAAGTACAATAAGAGTGTTGTAAGTTGTTTTTTAAGATGGAGCAAGTTTAAAGTTTTTCTTTATGAGTTTCATACTTATTTTGACTAAGTAAAAAGCTATTTATAGGTTTTTTTTAGTCGTTAGACACAGTTTTTCGCCCATTGACAGAATTGATTAGACCATTATAGAATTGATCATAATATTTTAAGAATCGATCAAACCCTTTTAGAATTTGTCAGATCGTTTTGAAGAATCTCGAGAGTTTTTGGAAATTTTCCAAAAACAAACTTACTATTATGAGAAACAATCTAACTATTTTGGCTATTACCATATCGTTTTTAAAACATTGAGACAGTTTTGGCTATTTTTTATATTTTGTTCCTGTTTTATATTTTGGTATTTTATTTATTTTCTTTGGTTTTTTTTGGGTTTATTTAGGTTGTAGGGGTGCTATGGAGTGTTATAAACAAGTCTAGTGCTATTAAAAAAATCATATTATAAATTATTGATTAACAAAGTTAATATTGTATTTTTTACAAGTTTTTTGTTCTTAACCATCCTGAATCATGTCCTTACTTGTTTAATAATTTATTGAATATTATAAACCTGTCTATATTATTGCAAGGGTGTGTTGTGTGTGTGTGTGGGGGGGTATATCAATGTATCCTTATTTAAATCATCTAAGTATTGAATACATTATGATATTAGTAATGTGATGTACATATATCAAAATAATATTTTAATATATCTAATATTTATGTTATCATTAAAACATGTAATTAAATCATTATAGTAGCCATATGACTAACACAAATGTGCCCAATTGATTTGATAGGTCTAATAATAGTGTGGACTACCAGTAAACGCATAGTTTGCTAAAAAAAATTAATATAATATTTTTTAAAAAAATATTAAAATGAGAACACTTTTAATCAACCAAAGCTTAACTTATTAAACCTATGCCTTGATCATGAGTCTGTGATAATTTTAAGTTAATAAATTATGAAGAATAATTTTCAATCAATTCAATATCGAATTATGAAATTGAAAAACAAATCATCTAAAAAACAACCCAAGTTAACCTCTCAAATCAACAATACATGTTATAAGGTTGGATAACCTCATAGAAGCAGATCAAAACAAATTATGAAATTTAATTTTCAATTAACTCAATGTTGAAGGATGAGATTGATAAAATATTTAATTAAAAAGAACGCAAAAAACAACTCGAGTCGAATCACGTTGACTTGTCAGAATCGTGATATGGGTCATGAGACAAAGATAACCTTGTAGAAAGCAAACAAAAAATAACACAAGTTAACTTGAGTTAATCTATCAAACTTGCGACCCTAATAGTGAGACTAAAATAATTTTATATAAAATAAATCAAAATAAAATACGAGGCATGATTCTCAACTAGCCTAACATTGAAGAATGAATTATTTTTTAAAAATCAATATAAAAAAGGATTAAAAATAACATGAATCAATGAGGGTTAACCCGCGAAACCCATGACTTGAGTCATGAGATTGAAATAACCTTATAAAAAGCAAACCAAAACGAATTAAAAAGCCTAATTTTTAATAATTAAAATGTTAAAAAATAAAATTAAAAAAAATCAATAAAAAAGTGAGGTGAAACAAATCATGAAGGTCAATTTCTAATGAATCAATTAATTCCTAACAAATAAAATGTTGAAGAATAATATTGGAATTGAAAAAAAAATTGAGTTAACTCACGGAACTTATAAAATACAACTCAAATTATGAGGTTAAGATATATAAATATATCAAAATAAATTATAAAATTTAATTATTGATAAATAAAATATTGAAAGATAAAATTTAAATTTTTAAAAATATATAAATACAAAAAATTTTAAAAAACAAAGCATAATGCTTTGTGAGGTACTGAATAGTAAAACATTATTTTCTTGGTAGAGAGTGTATGTTTTGGTGTTTAAAAAGTATTTTTAATATTTATTTATAATTGTAAATTGTTTTATATGTTTGTATTAAAAATTATTTTTAAAAAATAAAAAATATTATTTTAATATATTTTTAAATAAAAAATATTTTAAAAAACCAATGATATACTTTTAGTGTTTTGTTAGAATGTTAATAATAATTAATATAATGATATAATATAATTAAGAATAAAATAAAATAAAATAAAATAAAATAAAATAAAATGATCGGAAAGTAATTTTTTTAAAAAGTAAGGGCAGGCACGCTTGAAAGACATCAACCCATCAATCCACTCAATTCAGGAGGTCGACAGTAAAAATATGGTACTGTTAGTCAACCTGTGATACCTTAAAATTTCTAACCAATCAAAATTTAGCTCAACAATACAATTTTTTTCTTTTTTTTAAAAAAAGTTATTTTTCGCTGTGGTTGGCAGTTTTTTTTTTAAAAAATTATTTTTATATATTTTTAAATTATTTTTATTTACTAATATTTAAAATAAATTATAAAAATATTATTTATATATATATATATATATATATATATATTAAAAAAAATCTGAGCAGCGAAATCGAAACTCAAAATCCAATTTTTAATTAATAATTCATTCATATTTCATTATCTCTCTCTCTCTCTCTCTAACTTTCTGTGTCTAGAAAGTGGCGCTAGGCATCAGCCAACTTTTAGAGAGAGAAAGCCACCAAGAAGCTTCCTTTCGCTGCCTGCCTCAGGTTTCTCTATTTCTACCGATATTATTATTATTTTTTCATTATTATTATTATTTTCTAAGGAGAAGCTAGATCTTTCTTTTCTCTCTCTAAAAACAATTCTAATTCTCCTTTTCTCTCTCTAACAAATAAATTTCCATTTTAATTAATTAATTTAATTGAAGATGCGTCGGTCTGCATCGAAGAAGACGGTTCAATCGAATTCTACCACTGCTTCAATTACTTTTTCAGCTACGGATCTTTTTCGCTCCGGTATCTACTCTCTCGATTTCCTTTTTTCTGTTTTGATTTCTTATTTATTTTTCTAATATGTTTAAATCAACTGATTTTTATGTGTGGAATTGGTTTAATTGTGATTTATTATTTTCGGTGGTCAATTGAGTTATTAGATTGGTAATAAGAACAATAGAGAACTTATTAGTTTGTATTAATTAATTAATTGTGATTTTTGTTGTTTAGATGGAAAAAAAATAAAAAATGAAGATGTGAAATTTGTGCTGAAAATGAGAAAAATATGTAAAAGATGGTAAGAAGGAGACTTTCAAACCGTGCATGAGACTTTTATCTCGCACGGCTCCTGAGTGATAAAAGAAAGAATAAGTAAGATATTCTGGTTTGGTTCCCCCGAAAAAAAGAAAGAGATAGAGGGGGTTGGTGTTTGCATGAAGTAAAAATCTTTAATCGAACGACATAACTACTACTGCTTGATCAAGCTAAATTTTGCGTCATCGTAGGGGAAAGATATATATTGGTTTGAACGCTTGCTAATCGATTCTAGGCCATAAATGTTTGGTTTTATAGCAAGAAGTTGAAATCTTTTTGTTCCTCTTTGGTTTTGGTGAAGGTTCAAAATCTCTGGCATCTCCATGAAGAAAATCTCAAGATTGGCCTGCTTATAGCATCTTGAAAAGAAAATCAAACGTTTGTAGATAGAATGAACATTTGCTATCTATAGATGCTTGAAAAAATAGGAGCATTTTTATTAGATTTTTTTCACAGATTCTATTACTTGAATTATTTTGAAATCCTGTACATTGAAGACCAAATAAACAATTCACGGATTTGACCATTTGGTAATGCTTGTGACAGCTAATAGGAATTAAACGATGTTAGGAAAGAGGAACAACTATTTCTAATATTATGCCAATGAAAAGAATTTGTGCTAAAAACTTAGCTGATGAATTCTTGGACTAATTGAAAACATGGAATCTAAAATGTAATAACTAACATGCTTGAGGTTGCCTTTACAGAATCTTAGCATAATTCGTTTCTGAATTTATTGCTATGCTAGTTTAGGTTAACATTGCATTTACGTTGTAACCGGTAAATCTGTCTTTTTAGCCTCAAGTAAAGCATCTTCAAAAGAGATGGAGCGAATCGATAATTTATTTTACTCATACGCAAACAGGTCTTCTGGTATTATTGAGTAAGTTTCCTCCATCAAAATACTGTGTTCGATTAGTTAAGTGTTTATTAGCTTATCATTATTTAAAATATCAGTTGTGTTAATTTAAATTGCTATTGACTGTTGTTTTTCAAGTTAAGGAGATAATGTGTTCGTCAGTTACTTGATCACATGTGGGTGGACTTTCTCTGATGATACCTTTTGCATGCGACACTTTTGCTTTTGTATTTTGAAGTTCAACTTTCTGTCTCTCTGGCCGTCTTATTAGGATGGGAAAAATACCAGAACTCTTAGTTTATGCTTAAGCTGTTATATGAAAGAATGATTTAAGATGTATGATTTTAAGAGTTTTCACTTCATTCCTAATGTTTAAAATATTTTACTTGAACAGCCCAGAAGGAATTGAAACTCTATGTTCAGATATGGAGGGGGGTCATGCTGATGTCAGAATCTTGATGCTAGCTTGGTAAGTTAGACCAGAAGGTATTAAAGACTGATTAACTTTTGGCCTTAAGATTATGTGTTGAAACTGATGGGCTGTACATACCAGGAAAATGAGAGCTGAAAAACAGGGATACTTTACCCTGGTAAGGAACATGTCTTGTATATCCATCAATTTCTATTCTTGTTTCTATTTCTGATGTTATGCAATGAATTTGTTATCCACTTTTTATCTTTGATTCTCAATTTTGGCTCACCATTTTTTTGCCAGTATCCAATAATGTCATGCATTAGCAGCCTTTTAAATTGATTTTAGCATTCAAGGAGATGCTTAGATAGTTTTATGACTTATTATTCTATGATTTAAGAGTTTCAACAAAATTTGATTCTATTTGCAACTGTGTTTACTCAAAAATACAAAGATTGCAAAGTATTAATACTCGGTGCTTAGACATGCTTACACACACACACACATATAAATAGTTGCCAATGCAGGTGCTCATTAAAATTTCCTGGGATTTTCGTACTCTCTATCTCTGTGGATGCTTATCTTGCTTTGTGGTTTGTCGTTTTCTAGTGGTGCATGATTTGTTGTGCAATCTAGAAGATTATGCATACAGACAAGTGTTGGGATATATCATAAGCTCTAACATATCTTCCGTCTTCTTTCTCTTTCTTCATGTTGATCATCTTATACCCAAAACTGTCAACATTATATTCCATAATTAGGGATATTACTGGCTCATCCATTTCTTCCCTCTCACTAGAGTGTCTTAATGTTCATAGGAGGAGTGGCGAAGGGGCCTGAAATTACTGAGGGCTGATACTGTAAATAAATTAAAAAAGGTGCTTCTGGAGCTAGAAAAGGAGGTATGACCCTTTGTGGTTTGGGGTACTTGCGTGTACTTTTTGATGTTTTTTAATGTACTCAACGAATGGAACTCATCTAAAGAAGGTTGAAAAGCCACTGATCTTTTATCCCTTGCTCTAAAAGGTTAAGAGGCCAACAAACTTTGTGGATTTCTATACCTATGCATTTCGATATTGCCTCACAGGTATTCTGAGTTTACAGCGGCGTGTTGTCACATGCTGAAACATTATCTTTCCCAGTTTCCCCATTTATTAATGCTGCTTTCACCCTTTGCTTTCTTCAGAGGAGAAACAAAAGAGTATAGACATAGAGAGCATCTGCCAATTGTTGGATCTTGTTTTAGGATCCCATTTTCGAGCCCAGGTTGATTATTTCATTGAGTATCTAAAGGTCAGTGGCCACATTTTTCATGTTTGTTTCTGAAATTTGCTGCTGTTTGTATTCTAGTTGTTGATTGACATTGTTTATAAAATATCAAGGGTCATTTATTATTTATGCTTTTCGTATATGTTAAACAGTTTATTCTTCTCTCTGGTCTATTAGCTTATGAGCTAGACTTTAGAATTGATGGGCTATTTGATTCTGCATCTGTTTTACTTTTTGTAGCCAATCTTGCAACTTAATTGTTTTCCTTTTTTAAGTTAAAAATAGAAGAAATCTTGCTTTTTGATGTGCTAGGTGATCTAGGCAGCTTGATCTGAAAGAAAATGTCCAATTTATTTTACATGCATGTATTTGTATGTTTCTTGGTAGTTGTTACAGCCCCGTATTAACTATGCTTTCACTGTGAGTGCAGATTCAGAGTGATTATAAGGTCATAAACATGGATCAATGGATGGGCTTTTACCGTTTCTGCAATGAGGTACTTCCTGTTCTTCACCCGATAACTCCAAAAGTCTTGATTTTGTTATATTTAATTGACTAGTTATAGACTAAGGTTGTGTGATCCATGCACCTTTACCATCCTTTTCATGGTATATTATCTAGTTCATGTTCCCACTTTATTGACAGTTTCAAATCTTTTAACAGATAAGTTTTCCAGACCTTGGTAATTATGATCCGGAACTTGCATGGCCCCTGATCTTGGACAATTTTGTAGAATGGATGCGAGCAAAAATGACCTAAAAGCCGATGCTTTTGGTTGCTTGGGTTCCCTGCTGTAAACCATTATTATTATTTAAGTAGGTAGTGGTGAAATCCCTTTTCTTGTCCCAACCATTTGGGAAATGTATTGTTTTCATTCCATGCCACTTCCCTCTCCCTCCCTCCCCCTCCCTCCCTCCCGCTCTCTCTCTCTCTCATTTTGCTTTTTCCCTCGCGTTGCTGTTAGTAAAATATGTGATTGGTCTGTTTGCAGGATTATTGAAACTACTCACATTAGACACCCCAAGAGTTGTAAATTGTTAGTTCTTTGTAATCATGTTCTCCTCCAAACCAGTAACTTATGCTCAAATATATTAGAAAGTGAAGTTTGCGTGTTGCTGTCCATGCAAAATTCTACCTGTCATAGGTATAGATATCTCAATGGGACAGCGTAGACGCTAGGCTATATCATCCCCACTCTTTTGTGTGGACCAGAGCGATCATAGATATTTCCTCAACTTGTTGGGAATTTTCACCGGTGATGTACTGATATTTGCTCATAAGAGGCCAAGCACACTGACACAATATTTAACGTGGTTCGGCAAAACCGCCTACATCCATGGGAG